AGAAGGAATCATATTTTGAATATTTCGAGCAATTTGTTTCCAAATTATAAATATTCGCAAAATAAAATTGAGATAAATGTTAAACTTAAGAAAGGTTATTTTTGTATACTAGCACAGTATTTTTAATATTTGAAAAGAAAATGCGTAAAAATCCTTATTATATTATGCAGAACACAAAACAAATATTCAGAAAAAAAATAGATATTTTTCCAATATTTTTTTGCCTAAGTGAGATTTCTTTTCATTTCAAAGAATCTATTTAAAATTTTTAGTTTTATAATGCAACACATAACGTAACGAAGTTGTTTGAAAATTATACAAAAAGAAAAAAATAACTACTTACAAAATAGGAGAAAATGAATTTTAAAAACAAAAGAACAAAACAACTCTTCAAAAGAATAAAAAAACTGACTTAATTTCACTTCATACAAAACTATGCAGTAAATATTTCATTAAAAATCATTTTAGCAAACGATTCCACAATTTATCAAAATAGCCAATATATTTGGATATATAAATTTAAAAAAGAATGAATTTTTTTTAAAAAAAACAGTTACTTTCCAAAATAATCCAAAGTTTGATTTTGTTTCACTTAAAAAAAAAACTCTCAAAATATTTAATTAAAAGTTTTAACAAACGATTTCACAATTTATCAAAATAGCAAACATTTTAATAAGAAAAAAGTAAACGAGAATGAATTTTTTTTAAAAAAAAATATTGCTTTCCACAAGAATAAAAAATTAAAAACTTCTTTAAATTTCAAAAAAAAAAAAAAAAAAAAATCAACGCAGAATATTTTATTAAAAATTTTAACAAATTATTCCATAATTTTTTGAATTATCAAATATTTAGATAGATAAATAAATTGTAAAAAAGAAAAAAAGAAAGAAAAAAGAAAAAACTTACTAATTAGAAGAAGAGGAAAATTCGAAATCCAAAACACAACGGAACTCTTCATAATTCTGTTTGCATTCTAATTTCGAATGGAAAACCACGCTTCCGGTTGACGACAAATTAATCCTTTGGGAAAGAAGAATCGTCTGCTCTTTCTGCTATCAAAATATAAACGATACAGCGGAAGAGATCAGACTTTAAGAAGAACGGGTTGACTCTTCTTCTTGACTAAAAATCGCACAAGGTCAATTATTCTGGCGAGTCGGTCTCTCGCGCGCGAACGTATTGCTAGCTCCTTTTCTCGAGCCTTGCAAGAAAATAAAAGCGGTGAATTTTCACGGACCCATTTACCAACCGACCTTTTTGAGGCCGGGTTTTCGATTCTACACTTTTTTTTTCTTTTCTTTTTTCCTCCTTCTTTGATGAGTTATTTTTCCCCCTCCTTCTTTTTCCCCCCTTTAGAGTTGTTATTTCAGCGAAAGAAAAGAAAAACCAATGTATTGCTAATGTATACGTGGTGTAACCCACTTTGAAAAATGAATGAAAACATTTTCAACCTGTTGTA